GAGACTTTCCTCTTTAAGTCCTTTCTCTCCTGTCTTCTTCTCCTCTTTCTCTTCCTTCTTCTCCTCCCCCCTCCCTCTCCCTCCCCACTTCCTCTCTCTCTCTCCTCCCACCTCACACATACACACACACACACACACACACACACACACACAGAGCTCACTCTGATCCTGCCCCCTCAATCTTATATCTCAAACCCCAGCCCCTCCCTCTCAGCATCTGCCTTTCATGTCCAATGCTGGGCTACAAACCCCCTGCACTGCTTGGATCACACAGCTTGTGTCAGATGAGTCCAGGGGAAAAGAAAAATCAGACAGTGCAAGCAGGGTTCACCTCTACCAAGGCAGACACTGACTACTTGGATATGGAATTTTGAACCCTTCATTTCCAGCATCCTCCTAGCTTCTCTGCAGAATAAGAAGCTGTCTCTTCTCCCTTTCATGTCACTTTATTATTTCTATCACTTCTGCCTCGATGAACCTTCGAGTTCATTAAATCCTTTACTGATTCTCTTTTTTTTTTGAAAAAACAAAAACCCATTCATGCACATACAGAGAGAATTTTTCTTTTTATTTCCTTTCTTTTTTTTTCTTTTGGAGGAGATAGAGGGGGAAGCAGGCAGTGTATAAAAGTGAGGAGATTCTTTCAGCTCCAGAATCTAGGAAGACTGTCTATTATGCAATCAACCAATTACTCAATCCACAAGCATTTATTAAGCACGTACTGTTTACCAGGTTTTGTGCTAAGCACTGGTTACTAAAGACAAAATGGAATCACCCCTCTGCTCAAAGAGCTTACATTCTAAAGGCGAAGACAACAGATAAATGTCTAAGTATGTCTGAACCGTATACAAAATGAGAGGTCTCATAGTGGAGTGGGATACATCCAGGCTTCAAGCAGGAAGACTTGGGTTGATTATAGGATCATAGCTTTAGAGCTCAGAGGGACCTTGGAGGTGATGGATTCTAATTCCTATACTTTACAGACAAGGAAACTGAGGCCAAGAAGTCGTGACTTGACCAGAATCACACTACTAATTCCATCTGA